CTTTAGGGACAATCACAGTATTTAGTCACAGAGGGATATCCCACACTCAGGCTTTTCAGTGCATCGTTATGTGATTTTAGGACCTTTGCCATTTCTAGAGACACCTTTGAGTTACCAGAGTGTTTCAGAGCACACCAGCTTCACTGTGCCCAGATTCCTGGAGATATACTTCTTTTGGAATACATTATGATGTTACCCTTGCTAAATTTTATTTCAAGCCCTAAATACATATTGCACATAATATTGCATATTGTCAGGACAAGTGGATTTTTCTTTTTCTTTTTTTGAAATAGGATTTTTTTTGACAAGTGGATTTTTTTGACAAGTGAATTTTTCTTTTTCTGTCACCCAGGCTGGAGTGCAGTGGTGTGATCTTGGCTTGTTGCATCCTCCACCTCCCAAGCTCAAGCGATCCTCCCACCTCAGCCTCCTGAGTAGTTGGGACTACTGGTACACCACCACACCCAGCTAACTTTTTGTTTGTTTATTTGAAATGGAGTCTCACTCTGTCACCCAGACGAGTGTAGTGGCATGATCTTGGCTCACTGCAACCTCTATGTCCCAGGTTCAAGTGATTCTCCTGCCTCAGCTTCCTGAGTAGGTGGGAGTACAGGCACATGCCAGCACACCCAGCTAAGTTTTGTATTTTTAGTAGGAACAGGGTTTCACCATGTTGGCCAAGCTGGTCTTGAACTCCTGACCTCAGGTGATCCACCTGCCTTTACATCTCAAAGTGCTGGGATTATAGGTATGAGCCACCACATCCGGTTTATCACTTAGCTAATTAAAAAAGAATATTTTGTAGAGATGGGGTCTCACTACACTGCCCAGATTGGTCTTGAACTCCTGGGCTGAAGCAGTCCTCCCACCTTGGCCTCCGAAAGTGCGGGGATTACAAGCATAAGCCACTGTGCCCAGCAATTTTTCATTTCTTTTGTAGCAATATATTCAAAACTTTAAAATATAACCACTTACTCTATATTGCTTTAAAAATTACCTGTAAAGTACATGATTGAAATGACATTCAGCCCTTGGAATATGTAGCCATTATTTCTACAATGACGATTAAATGTTTATTAAGTTTCTTTATGCGCTCTTTGATTCCATTAGGAAACATCTGTAAGCATCTAAAATTAGTTTATGTATTGATGTCATTTCAATCTAAGGTGTCTGAAACACTATAGTATTCAAACTGATTGAGTGTGTCTCATGAAATTAGAGATTTTGTAAGGACTTGACTATTAGGTGGTGTCCACTTTTATGAGGAACATTTTTAGGGAAATACCTTTTCTTATATTTGGGTAAATACTCGTAATTTGGGTAAAAGTTTTTAAATAGAAGCTTGTGCTTATAAATTTCGTCAGTTAAACTTTGGGAAAAATAAGTTCTACATGTATAACAAAGTTTTAATTGAAACAAGCTTTGTTTCTAAGAATAACAGCCTTAAATTTTCAATGGAAAGATTATGTAAAATTAAGAACCATTTAATAGTAAAATGAGTTTAATTTAAAATCAGTGACTTAGATTTTGATGCCTGTTGGCTTATTTTTCTATTTATTGTTCTCTAATATGATGGTAAGAGTTGTTGTCTAAAATGATGCTGAGGTTTTAAAAAATGAGACTATATGATAATTAAATGCTCCATAAGGTCGCCTCTTCAGTGAACTTGATATTACTTTTTATCTTCCAGGTTTAAATTTTATTATGTTAAGTATCAGCTTAGTTTAAAAAAAATTCTTCTCAAAGGAGTGGATTATTTAAAAAGTGATATGGATATTCTCTGCCTCTATAATTCATACAGTGAATATTTATCGGACCTATGAGTAATTACTATATGTTAGATGCTGTGGTATACACTGTTACTGTCATTAAACTGTATACATGGTTTTTTAGTATATATTGAGAACATTGGTCCATGGCCCTCCTTAATTTCTAGTTTATATTTTATTCTAAGTAAATTGTTTTTTTTTCCAGAATAATGAGAAACAAATGCGGCAGCTCTCTGTGATTCCACCTATGATGTTTGATGCAGAGCAAAGACGAGTCAAGTTCATTAATATGAATGGGCTTATGGAGGACCCTATGAAGGTTTATAAAGACAGGCAGTTTATGAATGTTTGGACTGACCATGAAAAGGAGATCTTTAAGGACAAGTAATTTATATTTTTAATTATTTTCTATAGACTTCTACATAAGTTAATAAAAAGTATTTGGCATTTACTTGTAAATTGAACTGTTTTCACAAAAACTTGGCCCCATTTTGGCATTTGAATAGATTCTGTGGAAAGTAGAGAATATTGATCTGCCTGTAAGTTTGTAGGTGGGAAAAGAGGTAACAGATAAGAACTGGGGTTATAGAGTCATGTTAAGAGTGGTTCCCAAGCTTAGGTGCTGTCAGAGCTTTCAGTGGAGCTTTTATAAGGTACAAATTTCTGTGTGTTACCATAGACCAATTCAGTCATTTCCTGGTATACGGTGCCCAGAAATCTGTGCCCTTTAAAAGTCTCCAGGGATTCTACAGTTGTTCCTCAGATTGGCAGTTAGAAAGCCCTGGGAATTAGTCTATACATAATATTTCTTTTCTTTTTTTTTTTTTTTTTTTTTTTGAGACAGAGTCTCGCTCTGTCGCTTAAGCTGGAGTCCAGTGTTGTGATCTCGGCTCACTGCAACCTCAGCCTCCCGAATTCAAGCGATTCTCTTGCCTCAGTCGCCAGAGTAGGTGGGACTACAGACATGTGCCACCACCCCCGGCTAGTTTTTGTATTTTATTTATTTATTTATTTATTTTTAAAGATGGGGTTTCACCATGATGGCCAGGCTGGTCTTGAACTCCTGACCTCAGGTGATCCACCCACCTCGGCCTCCCAAAGTGCTAGGATTACAGGCGTGAGCCACCGCACCCGTCCCTATTTTATTTTATTTTTGAGACCGCGTCTCGCTCTGTCGCCCAGGCTGGAGTGCAGTGGCATGATTTTGGCTCAGTGCAACTTCTGCCTCCTGGTTCAAGCGATTCTCCTGCCTCAGCCTCCCAAGTAGCTGGGATTACAGGTGCGTGCCACCACGCCCAGCTAATTTATTTTGTATTTTTAGCAGAGACGAGGTTTCACTGTGTTAGCCAGGATGGTCTCAATATCCTGACCTTGTGATCCACCCTCCTCAGCTTCCCAGAGTGCTGGGATTACAGGCATGAGCCACTGTGCTTGGCCTAATTTTTGTATTTTTAGTAGAGATGGAGTTCTGCCATGTTGGTCAGGTTGGTCTTGAACTCTGACCTCAAGTGATCCTCCTGCCTTGGCATCCCAAAGTGTTGAGATTACAGGTGTGAGCCACCACACCCAGCCTGTACATAGTATTTCTTTTCCCAAGTTTTCTTTTTTAGTTGTTGAAATGTTTGTGTGTGAGTGTGTTTTTGTTTTCATTTTTACTCAGGTTTATCCAGCATCCAAAAAACTTTGGACTAATTGCATCCTATTTGGAGAGGAAGGTAAGACATGATTTGCTTTGGGAATCTTTATAAGTTTATGTTGGTTGTTACTTTGAAATTCTTGTACCCTAACACACACAGAAGTAGTTAAGTAGAACCGATTTTTAAAAGGCTGCGAAGCATCTCATGTGATTAATATAGTGATAATTACAATTATAATAGAAATCTTAGAATGCAGAACTAAATGGTTAATGAAAGATGACCTGATTTTTATTTCCCTAAAAACACTAGATTACAATGCTTTTTGAACCTCATTACATTTCTAATTAAAATATTAGTTTTGTGCTCATTTCAGCAGCGCATATACTAAAATTGGAACAGTGCAGAAATTAGCATGGCCCCTGTGCAGGGATGACAAGCAAATTTGTGAATCATTCCATATTTAATAAATATAAAGTTGATTTTAATGTTTTTGAACACAATAAAGACATTTTAAATATTTACATATATGTAGTCCGAAGGGGAATTTACTTGTTAATAAGAAAATATTTGAATGTTTCTGATAGTTCCTGGTATCTTTCACATAATTTGGATTAACAACTGTAACTGTCCATTAGAATAGTATATATAATGTAAATAGTTCTAGACCCTAGATATGCCTTAAAATTCTAGCCATGTGTGTTCTTTAATTTGTACTTTGAGAATACCAGAGATTTTCCTTGAAAGTAATATTTAATTTAAAAAATTTTTTATTTCATTGGATCTTCAAAAGTAATTGTTTTATTTCTTACAGAGTGTTCCTGATTGTGTTTTATATTATTATTTAACAAAGAAAAATGAGAATTATAAAGCTCTAGTGAGAAGAAATTATGGGAAACGCAGAGGCAGAAACCAGGTATGTTTTCTTAATGTATGGAAGATGTTTCAGGGTTGGTGGAAATAGGCAAGTGAAAAGTGTTACAACAGAAGTTCTGCCCCGAGTGTAGAAACATTGATGTTTCTGTTAAATTAATGAGGATATTATAATTATTTTGAAGTGTTTTGCATATATATATTTAATGTATATCTTGTATTTCAAATATATTTTAATTTTCTAGTGTGATAAAACTAATTAGAAAAGTTTTATGCCCTTCTGTCATCTGAGTAATGCATTTCAGTGTCAGCAGTAATTATGTAATTAAATATGAAGCCCTTACCTAATATACCATTGTAAGCCAGCCTGTTTATCTGAGGAGGGGTCAGGTAGAGTAAAGGAGAGAAATACAACATGGTAACTTGATAAAGGATTCTTTTAAAAAACCTGGAACCTGATTTTATTTCATATTAACTTCATTTGTGGAGTTTAGATAGTTTAATTTCTAAAAAGCACTTTTTCTGTTAGGGTGTGGTGGCTCACGTCTATAATCCCAACACTTTGGGAGGCTGGAGCGAGAGCATTGCCTGAGCCCAGGAGTTCAAAACCAGCCTAGGCAACATAGCGAGAACCGTCTGTCTTTACAAAATAATAGAAAAAATTAGCCAGGCATGATGGTGCACACCTGTAGTCCTAGATACCTGGGAGGCCAAGGTGGGAGGATGGCTTGAGCCTGGGAAATCGAGGCTTCAGTGAGCCGATTGTGCCACTGCAACCCCAGCCTGGGTGACAGAGCAAGATTGTGGTCTCCGAAAAATAAAAAAGACACTTTCCTAAAGGTAGTTTTCCACAAGTATAAAACTGAAAAAGGGTAGTTTTTACAGTTGCAATTCAGTACTTTCAGAATGGTTTTCTCCAAAGTAGCTGATCAGCAGCTGCCATAGCTCACAGATGCTTACCAGTGAGGCTGCTGAGCTACTGCAGTCACCACAGCTAATATGGAGGCTCTTGCTGTCCACACCTAGGTAGATATTACGATAAGGACTTATATGGATGAACTCTGACATTGGAACTGTTCATTAGCATTATTAAGTCTCTTCTGCTTTTCCCACTCAGCCACCCTTTTATTGGGGTCGGATCTTACTCCCTTTTTTCGTTTGATAGCTCCTGCTTACCAGATACAGGTTTTTAACCTAGTTCTCTCATTATTCACAGCTATAACCTTTTTATGTTTTCTGGGTCATTATTTCCCACAGAACACTACCACCCCACTTGATGTGATTACCTGTTCTTTGGAAACAGTATTTCTTGTTTAAAAAAGTATAGAGAGTATTTCATGAGTCAGCTGTGTAAAATGCTGCTAGAGGTTGAGTAAGCCAAGGTGCTGTAGACACGGATTTTCAGTGGATTAGTGAGGGGGCAGAAACACACTTACACAGAGTTGAAGAAGATATAGAAGGTATGCCGGGCGCAGTGGCTCAAGCCTGTAATCCCAGCACTTTGGGAGGCCAAGGCGGGTGGATCACGAGGTCAAGAGATCGAGACCATCCTGGTCAACACAGTGAAACCCCGTCTCTACTAAAAATACAAAACATTAGCCGGGCATGGTGGCGCGTGCCTGTAATCCCAGCTACTCAGGAAGCTGAGGCAGGAGAATCGCCTGAACCCGGGAGGCGGAGGTTGCGGTGAGCCGAGATCGCGCCATTGCACTCCAGCCTGGGTAACAAGAGCGAAACTCTGTCCCAAAAAAAAAAAAA